CTCATCAGTCTTATGATTAGGAGAACATTCTGAATGCAGTAGCCACTGACATATGCCAGGCCTTTGGGGATTTGGGGTTTCCAACAAGCAGATCCCTACGTGCAAGAAACTGCATAGTTTTCCTAATGGCCATAGGAAGGCAAGTTTCTTCCTTCCCCAAAGTCTGTGAAAGACTCTTCTTGTTCTTTCCTTTTTATAGCTCCTATCTTCCCCTTTCAAATAGGAGAATTATGCTGACACAATCACATTATGTCCAGTTACTTAACATCAAGCAGATGGTTGCTAAAATTCTTGCATCAGCAGTAAGATTTTAATTATTCTTTGGTAACTGTGCATCCTGGCAGTAGTAAACCCTGGCAACTGTAGCCATTTTTGTGCTGTCCTTATCTTTGATGGCATCTGGAATATGTTTATACATCCTTGACACTGAACAAATATTTTGTTGTTCTTTGGCTTCTATATTTCCTGCAAGTTTGATCTTGATAGTTTTACAACATCAGTGGCATACCAACAAGAAATTTGTCCAATGACATCTGTGCAGTGTGCGGACAGAAAATCTTTGTGGATATAAAAAAAGAAGGGATCATTGAAAATACCTTACAGCTGTTCTGTAATCAGGGATATCCTTTCCATGTAATTATGAAACTATTGTTTTCCTCTCTTTTATGCTGTATTAAAAAATAACGATGACAATAAATACCAAGAAAAAAAGGAACTAAAACCATGTTCAGAAACAACATTGTGCAGAGGTAAAAAAAAAGGAACACAAACTATTTTTCAGTCCTGTAACACAAGTTGAGGCCATGCAGATTTCTGGCTGACAAACTGATGCAAGAGTGGCTATAATCCTATAGTTCCAGGCTTAAATCCACCTTCCAGGTACTTGGTGCACAGCCTTTGTGGGTGTGCCTGGCAGGACATTAGACCAGGCACGCTGACCCATCAGCCAGGTCTGCTAATTCAGGCTCCACTCCTGTGCACTGCAAAGGATTTCCTCCAGCTGTGCCTGGGGCTGTTTGCCAGGTAGTTTTAAGGCAATGTGGAGCCCTTCTCAACCAATGTCCTGTACCCCAGAGCTTGACAGAAAAGCCAGTGACCCAGAGATACCAAACAACTCTACATCTTGCATTCCAGAAACTCAAAATGAAAAGTATTGAATATGTGCTGGAACAATGTTAATAATCACTCACTTCCGCACTTCATAAAAGTATGCTGGCTTCTTGTGAGCTGGAAAATATGAATACCAGTCTGGATGTTCAGGACGTTGGATTCAGCTTTACAATAACTCCAAATAGTCCAAATATCTTAAGTAATTTGAAACTGCTTGGTTATAAAACCAGGCAATGTCCACACTCAGTCATTGAAATTATCTGCTGATAGTTTGACCAGATTTGCAGATGTAAGCACTGAGTCTTTTTTGCATTTGAAAGATTCTTTAATGATACACCTGATACTGGGTTTGATGAATCCTGCATCCACAGCTGGTGCGTTGTTGGCAAGAACCAAACTCACCCAGACTGCCCTGGGAAAGCTGACTTGAAGGGGTTGTTCAGCAACCCATACTCTCTCTGTAACAAGTGCGCTTTTCATTTGGATTTTCTAAACCATAGCCTGATTGCTTATGAATTATTAATTATTACTTACTAATTCTTGTTTTGATCTGCAGTGGAGGGATGAGATGGCCACATTAAATGAATGGAAAACCTGTTATTATTAAGGAAAAATTATATTTAGGGAAGATAATAGGTCTGTTTGTCTTTGCCTTATCTAAGACCCCAAGCAAGCTAGGAAAAGTAAATATATATTTTCCTTCTTGATTTCAAGACATCCAGAATTAATTTTTATAATGAGAGGAACACTTTAAAGAATATAAAACATAATTTTATAAAAACCGTGGAGTGGATTTTGTTCTTTAACATTTTTTTTAAAATTATGTAATGCACTTCCAGAACTTTTCAATTATGTAAAGCACTTTTCCCTTTTAGTTACTGTAGTTTTCTGTAGAAAACTGCTTCCATGAAAGCAAAGTTTGGCTTATTTTCTTGGAGCCTATTTTAACCATAGGATACTTAATTTTAACATTACCTCTACTAAAAAAAAAAAAAAAAAAAAAAAAAAAAAAAAAGGAAATTATGGGTGTTAAGGAAGTAAATTATGAGAACTAAAAAAGTTATTTCAAAAATTTAACCCAATACTGTATCTTTGATTCTGACTAAGAAAAATACCAAGATTGTTGCATTTTCTCTCCAGTTTCCTCATGAATTGATTGTGTGGGAACACCCAAATATTTTATGGACAACTTCTGGACTGTCTCTGCTGTCTGGTGGTTCAGGAGTTGATTGTTACAGGCATCATCCAAGGCATTACTTACTGGTTCTGGAATAGGATGCAGATTATTGGTGAGAGTTCAAAGTGTTGGACATTTACCTGCCTACAATAATATGCATATTCTGTAATTAATTTTAAAAGACTAGAGAAAAGAGTAATTGGTGGAATTTTGGTGTGCTAGAAAACACTTTTGCCTCTTTTTGCATTATAGTGAGGCTATTCAGCATGCTATGAAAACAGCATGTTTTGGAAGCTCATGCTAGAAAAAAAATTAGATTTCCCAGAATGAATAAGTAGATAGCAGAGGTAGCTTCTGAATTCAGATTAAACATGATCAGTATTTTAAGAATCTCTGCTTTGTTATTAGAAATCAGAGATACACTTACTTAACTTACACTTTAATATATATATAAGAATAAAGCAAATACTGTATGAAGTCGTCTATAGGTAAAAAAAGGTCTAGATGCTAAAAATAGAAAATTATGGTCTTTAAAAAACAAAGTAAATTAAAGAAAGAGCAAATCTTGAATACATAGAAACAAGGTGGCTTTTTTAGCTTAGATGAAGTAACAAAGTTAGCAATTCTTATTTTGTGTTATGCCTGCATTAATAAATGCAAAAATGCATGTAAATAAGCTGTTAATTTTCACTGTGCTGTCAAAGTTGCCTGCTTGTGGGTGTAATGGAAGCAGGTGTGTCCTCAGCCTTCCCAATGGCTAGCAAAGAACAGGGATACTTTGCTCTCACTGGCACTTTGGTTGGAAATTTCCAATGCAATCAACTCAGTTACAGTGAGGTGTTTGAACAGGGGTTTTAAACCACATGAGATGCCCAAGACCAAAACAGCAATAAAAACACTAACTTGGACATGGTCTCATCACAGTTACAGCCAAATGTTGTAGGTGTTTCCATTTGAAAGCTTTTAGGACCTGCTTCTGTATGTGCCTGGAAATGTCCTAAGCTGTGCTTAAGTCCTGAACTGATCCAGAAGTTCATAGTCCTTCCTGTCTATCAGAATCAAGCTATTAGGGTTCACCCAAAATTTTCTATGGCTGCAAGAAAAATATCACTTTCTTTTTACATCAGCTCTGAAGGATGGGTCTGGTGCTAGTCTTCCATTGGTTCAATTTTTCAATTAAGACCTTTGTCCCAGTAACCTTCTCAAGAAAACACTACCCCACCTGACGGCAAACACAATGTCCTATGTGGGATGTTCTCCACATACTCTACAACTACACCTACTCTACTTTCGTGGACTACATTTACAATGAGGGCAAAAGGTAGGAAACACTCTTTTCATGCCTATGTTAAGGCTGCTGAACATAGAGAAGAATGTGGTGTTGGATTCAAGGACTATATTTGTGTTTCCCACACTGTAGCTGAGAGCAGCTTAAATTCCACTTGTCAGAAGAGTATTTGAACTCTACTCTGAAGCATCTATTGCCGCATATAGTACAATGAAATAAAACAGAAATCATCCTCCATAGATGTCTTTCATAAAGGAAATTATATAAACTAAAAGCTACCACAGACAGAATTGCAGAGAGAAAGCACATTTCTACATTATGCCTTGCAGCCATGATTTTCAGAAGATCTGGGCATTTAACTTTCTGTGACAATGAAATAAAGAGAATCAGTCCTTAGATTCACTGACTAGGAGAGCTAGGACAAAATTATTTGCTGCATAAACTGATTTTTAGGACTTGATGAAAAGTGGTTTATACAAAGAATGCAGAGAAACCCTTGGTTAGGCAGGTTCTCTCCGTTCTCTCCTGAAACTTTTGTAAAGATGAAGACATGTAAACTACAGAGCTGTATACCTAAACAACTTTTCATCATTAAATATTTAAATGAAGCAGCTTTTGCTCATACTGCTGCTTAACATGTGTAGATAGCTACTCTTGTTTAACCTCAGAAGGCAGCTCAGCACCACACATCCACCACTTCCCCCCAGTGGAACAAGAAGGAAATCTGAAGGGTAGAAGTGAGAAAGCTTGGGAGTTCAGATTAGGGTAGTTCAACAGGTAAAGTAAAAGCTGTGCTCACAAGCAAAGCAGAAGAAAGAATTAATTTACCACTTTCCATCAACAGGCAAATGTTTAGCTATTGTCATGACAGCAGGACTCCATGACGCAGAACTTTTACTTGGGAAGGCAAATATGATGACTCCAAATTTCCTCCATTACTCTTTCTTTCCCACAACTTTTAGTGCTGATTATCTTCTCAAGGGTCATGACATTATATATGGGACATCCTTTTGGTCAGCTGGGATCAGTTATCCTTACTGTGCCTCCCCCTCCCCACCCCCAAATTACGATGCACCCCCTACGTGCTTGCTGGCAGGATGGTGTGAGAAACAGAAAACATCTTGATGCTGTGCAAGTACTGTTGAGCAAGAACTAAAAAGCCACTGTGTTATGGAGACTGTTTTGGGCACAAATACAAACCACAGCACCACAGAGGAGCTATGAAGAAAATTAACTCTCTTCCAGCCCAAACATGTACAGCTATTCAGAATATTAGCTACAAAAAGTAGTTATTTCATAAGAAGTGTTAGAATTTGCAGCAGCACACCTTTCTGTTCTTAAGATGCAGATAAGTGATGGAACAAACAGGCAAGTGAAGTAAATCCAGAGTAAATTCATTACATATTTATTTCTTAATGTCCCTGTCTAGGACCTTAGAGCTATTTTCAAATTAAACCAAAACACCTGCTGCTGCTCTTCTTCGAGAGGCCACTCCAGGTAGGTCTTTGTGTTCATGATCTTCCGCAGCTTGCAGAACCTCTTGGGAATCGCTTTGCTCTGGATGGGCTCCAGGAGGATGAGAATGGCCGCATCGTTGTTCTCATCAAAGAGGCGGAAATGCGAGAAGTCCAGCTCGTATTTGCACCACTCGCTCTGCACAAAGTGCTCAGACAGCACAAAGAGCGTTTTGCGGCTCTTCTCAATGGAGTCGATGATGTTGTCCACAATCCACTTCCCCGGCACAAAGTCCCGCTTGTGCAGGCAGAGCCGGAAGGGAGGGCAGGCCTGCTCCAGCTCCCGCACCATGGTGTTCTCCACCCAGTCGGAGTCGTTCTCGCTGTAGGAGACAAAAGCGTCGTAGCAGACGTCCTTCGGCGGGGCGCGCTTGGGCTTCCGCTTGGCTTGCAGCCACGCCCACGTCATCCGCAGGTACCACACCATGTGGTACTTGTAGCCGACGGCCACCAGCAGCAGGATGAGCAGGAACACCAGGACGCAGATCAGTGACACCACCAGGGACCTGTGGCACTCCATCAGGGAGAGGTGCACAGAGCCAACCTGCGCCCCTCTCACCGCCAGCGGAGAGTCACACACGTACTTGTCCGGCCACCCCACCAGCACCTGGGCTAGCCCGGCCTCGTGGTGGACAAAGGACAGGAACTCACAGGAGCAGATGAAGTTGTTGTCACTGGCATCCAGCAGCTCCATTCTCCTGAAGGACTCAAACTCCTCCTTGGAGAAACTGTTCAGCTTGTTTCTTCTGACGGACAAGGACACCAAATTTGGAATGGGTGCGGCTCCCGGCAGGGTCTTCAGCTGGTTCCTTGTGAGGTACAGCTCTTTCAGAAATGGCAGCTGCAGCCCAAACTCCTTCAGGTTGTTTCCACTGACATCCAAAACTTCCAGAGTTTGAGGAATGCAGGTTGTTACATTAGGAATTTGAGTGCTGGACAGATTTAAATATTTCAGGAATTTTGGCCATTCACACACATCTGGAATCTCACCAAAATTATTTTGGCTAATGTCTAAAAGAATTAGGTTTCCTAGATGAGATAAACTTTTACTTGTCATTTCTAAGTCACTCAGTGAATTCTGACTTAAATTTAGAGTTTGTAGTGATGGCCAAGCACCCTGACAGGCTGAATGTTGTAAACTCAGGTCTCCAAGCAAATTTGCACTGAGGTCAAGATATACTAATGACTGAAGATGTTGGGAAATTCTGCACGGTACCAAAAAAACCTTTGTGTTTTGAACTGTAACCCTTGTAAAAAGAGATAGTAGACCTTCCACAGCCTGAAGATCTGTAAACAAGTAAAATTCTTCTATAGCTAATTTCTTTATTGTCAAAACTCTAAGTGTCTGTGATTTCTTTGCTTGAATTTCGATTTTCCACTGTCCAGTTCCCAAGAGTCTACAGTCTATCAGCTCCAGCTCCACTAACTTTGTCATTCCTTCTAAAATGCTGACAATCTCAGGCACGGTAATATCTGTTAGTAAAGTCTGTCTAAAAGAAATTTTCTTTGCAAAAGATGAAGACATGACTCTCAATTCTTGCATTTCTGAAGCAATACTGAACGCTATTCCTCTCACTTCCAGCCAAGCAACAGTGTGCAGAAGGTCCCTAACAATTTCTGAGAATGTATTAATACTTCTTATATTTAGGATCATGTGATTTATCTGCTTAATTGATTTCAAACTTCCCTGCTCATACTGACTGAGATTGCTACCGTCAATCCACAACTTGTGCAGAAGCTCAATGCCCTCAAAGTCCCCTTGCCTTATCACAGAGAACTGCGCGTTGCCCAGGTGCAGAGAGCTCAGGTTCCTCAGGCTAGAAAAGGGGGAGCTCTGCCCCAGGTCTCTGTAGGAATTGCCTTGAAGATAGAGGTGCTGGAGTGAAAAAAGGTGCCCAAACCACACAGGGGACAAGTGAGCCAAGCTGTTATTGGATAAGTCCAAGAGCTCCAGTTTTGCCAGGGACTGAAACGAGTCTTCATCGATGGAGCTGATTTGGTTGGACTGCAGCAGCAGGGCTCTCAGGTTCACTGCCTGCTGCAGGTCCTGGGACTGGATGTGCTTTATCCTGTTGTAGGTCAGGTTTAACACTGTGATTTTGGCTGTGAGCCCAGGGGGAATGAATTCCAAGCCCATGGAGGAGCAGTTGCAAAGCTGACTGGCATCACATGAAGGACAAGCCTGCTTCAGTGCTTGCTGCTTGGAGAGGCTTGCAGCTAAGACCATGTAGATGGCCAACACTTGCCAGGTGTGTGCAGTCATTATATGGCCTAAAATAGGAAACATAGTCAGAGCAAATATAAGATGTGTAGCTTGTTTTGGAGAAGGTATATTTTGGATAAATCTAAAATATAAGTTTTACTGTTCTGTCTTGTTGAAGGCACTGTTAAAATATTTGGTTTTAACACAGTTCAGAGTTGAAACAGATTCATTTACTACTCTGATCCTCCTCCTGTGTAGAAGGTAGCCTTCATACTTCAATCTCACCTCAGGTCTTTTTCTTCTGAATCTGTGAATATTGTTTTGTAAATTCATTTTTTTATCACAGGGAGTTTTTTGTACATGTTTCAAATCCTGGTTACATCAAGAAGAGTCAGCATCTTACAGCATAGTGGCATTCAGATTTAATATTTACTTCAAGCATATGTCAATCTCTATTCTGACAATAGGGAGAAAAGAAATGCATTTGTTTCAGTCCATTTTTCATTTTATCTGCCTTATCCTACTCTGATTTTAAATGTCCTGTGAGCAGGGATACAAACACTTGCCTGGATGACTCTCATGTTGCCATCAGTCTGATTCTTGCTAAAGAAATTTAAGTAAAACTGACCATTGTTGCCTACTGCCTCAGCTCTTTTTACTGCCATATCCTTTTTCTCTGCCAATGCCTTTTTCTGTTTTGGGAACCTGTGGCAGAGAGAAGATCAGGCTGAGTCACAAGGAAGAGCCAGGGGCTCAGATCCAATCAGCTGACTGGACTAGATAGCTTTTAGCAGCCCCACAGCCTGTTTCTGGTCTTCTGGACTGAAATGATTCAAGAGAAGGCACACAGATGTGGATCCTGTGTCACTCCACTTTCACAGCTTTCATAATGATGATTTGGTATGGCTTTTTTTTTTTTTACAAAGCTTCCTGCAATAGGCAACTTTTCTTTACTCCCAACAGGATGCCTTTAGTTCCTCTAGCCTTATGAGGAGCTGGAAAAAAATTTTTTTAAAGCCTAAGAGAGTTCTTTTCCCTTTAAAATCTTTATTGCATATTGAAATGTAACCTTTCTTGACAAGGATCAAAGAGCATTTTTAAAATGTAATTTTCCTCAGCGTGCCACAAAACCCACCTACCTCAGTAGGTATCTTACTGAGGGCGGAAAGAGCAAGCAATCCCCAAAGAAGCCAATCAATGAGTTCACAAAATCATTGTGGCTCTCTATCAGGTTAATCAGGTTAGACTGGCTCCTTGAGAACTTCTTTCTCCCTCAGTCATCCTACTGAGATTCTATGCAGAAGAACTACTCTGAATTAATATTCTAATTTGTTTTACAGTATGTGACCCACATATACAAGTTAATACAGAGAAGTCCCATCCTTCCAGCTGCATTATTTTTAGTCCTAACTGCTTAAAATTATCCAGAAGAGGCAAAATTGACTGAGATGGTTTGAGCATATGGGGAGGGGAGGAAAAGTTGTGGATAACTTTTTCAGTCATTCCACCTCTTCCCACCTGCAGGACTATTAACATTTTGACCCCTTGTGTTACTTTCCTTTTATCTCTGTCTGGCTCTGATGTAGTGCTTTGGATTTTGAAGGACAAGGCTCTCTTCCCTGTCTTTAGATGCCTAAAGCTGAGCTGGTCATCCACCATGTCCTCCAAAGTCAATGGAGAGAAAGTACATCTTTTAGGAGCAATTAACATAGTGTGTCTTGGACACACAGATTAAGACGTGATGACTCCAAGAGAAATTATCCCATTTCCATAAAATGGGGTATCACAGTTTAGATTCCTAGATATTTGTCCCCATGAATCCCAAACAAAAAATCATAGTCTGTAGTTAGACTCATCTGCTGTCCAGATGAGGCATTTTGCAGGGCTTTTTGGTCTCCCAAGAGTAACAGGATAATTCAGGGCTGTAGGCTAAAGGAGTAAATCCAGGAGTAGCGTGAGTTGCACTAGCAACAGATTCAGGTGGTATTTTTACAGTTGTCATCAAAATACTTAGTTTTAGAAAATGAAGCAACCAGGCAACCTGATCAGTCAAAAGCTGTCTATAGGTAAGTTATTTATAGGTGGCAAATTGGCAGCACACAAGGGAACTGGGCAGGTACTGCACAGGAAACACCAGCAGAGCCTAATGGCTCTCCACCTTACCAGTCTGAAACCATCCAGGTACTGCAGGACTGAACTGCATTTGGTGATTCAGGATGCTGACTTTCCAGGTTTTTTGCTCATCTGTAATCTGAACAGACACTCAGAAGAATTCCATTCCCACCCTCATTCACTTTTAGCCATTCTCTTCCCCTTCTGATTCCTGCCTAACGATTCTGCTTGAGACCCTGACTTACAAGGTCATTTCAGGCCCCTGCACACGCACTCAGACATACAGCCCCAGTCCATGATATCATTGCCCTATCAAGAAATCACTTCTCCCTGTTGTGCTGGGAATTAAAAAGCCACAGTAAGAAAATTAAACTGAATTGCAACTAAAAATACATAAACTTGCACTGATGCCCTTATACCATTAGGTACTGTGATGAACCAGGCATTCAAAATGTTTCTGAGTTATGGAAAATGGGTCCAAGCCATCAGACATGCTCAAACTTATTTTCCCTGGCCCATATGAGAAGTATTTGAGGAAATACATACGTATTCTTAAACAAAACCATGACTGACAACAGAATGAGGTTCTATAAACACTCACAATGGGGAAGGTTAATGTAAGACCTAAAATAAAGCATGCCAGTGGTGTGCAAATTGATTCTAGCTTGGGGAGTACTACCCAGCTACGTGTGGGCTGGTAAATTTGAGCAGTGCTATGGAGTCTGCAGAGGGAGAGCCACAGGGTGGTGAAGAGGCCAAACCACAAGCAGACTGGGGAAGGCTGCTGCTCTCCACCTGGCAGTGTGTGGGTTATGCATGTCCTAGTTCTCAGCCCCCAGCACTGCCCTAACAGCACGTCTGCACAGCCACACACCCCCACACACACGGCTATGCCTTTGCTTGTTTCCCACACAGAAGATGTGCAGCAGGTCAGAGTTAGGTGAGGAGGCAGCTGATGGCCCAAGGCCATTGTTCAGTGAGCTCTTTCCTGGTTGAATTCCTGAAAGCAAGGTACCCCACCTTGACTCCCAGCCTTCCCTGGGCAGTTGGTATCAACACCCAGGTGAGACAACATAGAAATAGGACAAATAGGACAAGGCACCCTCCTCCACGGAAACTGTGCAGAAATGGCACAGTCTGACCCAATTTGTCTCTTTTTCATTTGCTGCTTTCCTCTCTCCCTTTTCCCAGAGGACACTGGTCTCATCAGCTTGTCACATCTCCAGCAGAACCTTGCTTTCCCTGCCAGATGCCTGGGATTGCACCTTCCTGCTTTAGTTTTGCTGGCAGCCAGAAATCCCTCCCCACCCCACACTCCTGCTCAGCAGCCCTGAGCACCCTGAATCCCCCTTGCAGAGGAGGACTGGCGGCAGAGATTAGGTTGCATCTTCTCAGGGCTCCCTGTTTGCTTCTTGCTCTGACATTGCAACTCCATTGTCTTTCCCTGCATGTCCAGCCTTCACCTACCTGAAAACTCACCTGTGTGCCAAAAGGATTCCCAGAGATGCCACCTGCAGCTCCAGTCCCTGCACACCAGTAAACTTAAGTTGTGTTTTGTCTCTCTCTTGCTGATCATTCTTTGCCCAGCTTCCTCTCAGGCTGCTGTTCCGTTTCCACTTCACCTCTCAACCTAGACAATATAAGCAGGGGAATTCCCACCTGGGTGACCTGATTGGCATAAGAGCAGTTACACTATCAGTCCTTTTAACTGTGCCAACATACAGAAGTCTGGGTTTATGGTAAGAGTATACTGTGTGAAAACTAAGGCTTCTCCCACATCTCTCTTTGACCCTCTCTTTGTAATGACTGGCAAGATTTATTTCCCTTCTTTACCTCTAGGCACACATTTCTCCTAATTTGTTTTATCAGCACTCAGTGTTTGTTCTTGGATTATTCACTCATCACCTACCTGGAGTTCAGCCTTGATTAAACCATGAGCTATACTTCCCCAAGAGAGTGAACAGAAAAATTGCTTCATAGCAGAATTCATAGCCCTGGAGATAACATTGTAACAAGAAAACAGAACTGAAAGTTGTGTTTGCAGGCTCCACCTACAGAAATTATCTCATGTAGACACATGTACACATACAAACAGGAGTGTGAATAGATACACATTTATAAAAGCACATACATACACATATATACATGAAGATGTATAAATATAGCAACAGAAAATATAGACAAATTTTGCTATTTTTCAAATACTTAGTCAGCTCATACACCAAGGCTTTAGTATATCATCACAAAATAATTGCATGGCTAAAATTTAATCAAGATCTAGACTTTCCTGTACTTAAACTCCAGCAAAACAACCAAAGGGGAACATGAAAATGTTGAGTTAGATAAACCACACCTAACTTAATCCCCTCAGAGACAATTTCAGGTTCCCATAAGAAATTCTAAAACACAAGAAATCCAAGCACTCAGTGTGGGACTGACTACATTAATGTAAACATCTGTATCTACCTGCTTGTCTAGACTCCCTTTGTTATCAGTGGAGAGCAATATGGTAATTCTAGGAGATACCTCACACTGAAGTAGAGAAATGAACTGTCTCTTATCCCTGTGATTTTCTTCACCAACTACAAAGGAAGGTAACTAGAGCTGTCAGACTTGCATGGCCCAGTGATTACATAAATATGCTCCACAACGTAGAAGAGCAAAACTTAAAACCGAGCCAGACAGCAACACCATCTAGCCCACACATTAGAAACACAGTCTCACATCCAAAAATAGGCTTCAGCTATTTCTGCTGGTAAGTAGAAAGGAAAGTGGTAGTGATCATGAAGAGAAAAGAAAGCATTCCCAGGAAGAAATGGACACAGGGAAATATTAATTCAAGCCCATGGCTTTTAATTTCATTTGAAAATTACAATGGCAATGTTAGAGACCAGCTGGGGATAGCGGTAACAGGAGTAAAATGTACGGAAATACCCCGCGCTTAGCAAAGTGTACTTAGAAAAGTATATCAAGTCCAACACAGTTTCCAAATATCATAGTTATTGGCAGGTACTTTTAAAGACCAAAGCATCAAATCACTGGAAAGCATGAAAAAGGCCTTTTCCAGTAGGTAAAATGACAATTATCTGTATATAAAAAAGCGCCAGTTGCAGTTACAAAGAAAAATAAGAAAGAAAATATTCTTAGCAGTAAGAAATAGTAGTATACAGCCTTTTTGTGGAAATGCGTTGAAAGAGGGGCTGCCGATTTCTAGGACTTCAAGGCACCTTTCAAGTTTTCCCAAAACACCTGCTGCTGCTCTTCACCAGCAGGCCACTCCAGGTAGGTCTTTGTGTTCATGATCTTCCGCAGCTTGCAGAACCTCTTGGGAATCGCTTTGCTCTGGATGGGCTCCAGGAGGATGAGAATGGCCGCATCGTTGTTCTCATCAAAGAGGCGGAAATGCGAGAAGTCCAGCTCGTATTTGCACCACTCGCTCTGCACAAAGTGCTCAGACAGCACAAAGAGCGTTTTGCGGCTCTTCTCAATGGAGTCGATGATGTTGTCCACAATCCACTTCCCCGGCACAAAGTCCCGCTTGTGCAGGCAGAGCCGGAAGGGAGGGCAGGCCTGCTCCAGCTCCCGCACCATGGTGTTCTCCACCCAGTCGGAGTCGTTCTCGCTGTAGGAGACAAAAGCGTCGTAGCAGACGTCCTTCGGCGGGGCGCGCTTGGGCTTCCGCTTGGCTTGCAGCCACGCCCACGTCATCCGCAGGTACCACACCATGTGGTACTTGTAGCCGACGGCCACCAGCAGCAGGATGAGCAGGAACACCAGGACGCAGATCAGTGACACCACCAGGGACCTGTGGCACTCCATCAGGGAGAGGTGCACAGAGCCAACCTGCGCCCCTCTCACCGCCAGCGGAGAGTCACACACGTACTTGTCCGGCCACCCCACCAGCACCTGGGCTAGCCCGGCCTCGTGGTGGACAAAGGACAGGAACTCACAGGAGCAGATGAAGTTGTTGTCACTGGCATCCAGCAGCTCCATTCTCCTGAAGGACTCAAACTCCTCCTTGGAGAAACTGTTCAGCTTGTTTCTTCTGACGGACAAGGACACCAAATTTGGAATGGGTGCGGCTCCCGGCAGGGTCTTCAGCTGGTTCCTTGTGAGGTACAGCTCTTTCAGAAATGGCAGCTGCAGCCCAAACTCCTTCAGGTTGTTTCCACTGACATCCAAAACTTCTAGAGTTCGAGGAATGCAGGCCGTTAATTTAGGAATTTGAGTGCTGGACAGGTTTAAATATTTCAGGAATTTTGGCCATTCACACACATCTGGAATCTCACCAAAATTATTTTGGCTAATGTCAAGATTATTTAATTTGGGCAGACGAGATGTATACTCTGCAGTCAGTTCCAGAGATTTTAGAGAGTTCTGACTTAGATTTAAAGTTTGCAATGAAGGCCAGGAACGTTCACAGATTGTCTCATTTAAACGCTTATTTACAAGCAAATTATCATGAAAGTCCAGATACAGAAGTGATGAAAAATGTCTTGCAAGTTTGCATGGTACCATGAAAACATTAGAGCTTGCGATAGTGAGTCTTTTTAGTTTGTTTATTTGTGACTCCATACCTTCCAGGTCAAAAAACAAATGAAAATTCTGAATCATTACCCTTATTATTGTTACTGTTTCAACAAAACTTTGCCCACTCCTTGCAATTTCTTTAGTGTTCCATCTTCCCTTCCCCTCAAGCACACAATTGATTCCCTCTAACTCTTTTAAAGAGCTGATTTCCTTCAGTGACACTATCGTTCTGCTAATGGTTTGATCTGTGAAGAAAGCTTCTTTAAAGGTAAGCTTTTGCATCCTAAAAGGATGTGTAGAATTCTGCACCAAGCTTTTTTTTTCAACCGGTAATTTGATTTCTGTCACTTCCAGCCAAGTGACAGAGTTCGCAAGATCCCTAACAATTTCTGAGAATATATTACTATTTCTTAGGTTTATGATCATGTGATTTATCTGCTTAATTGATTTCAAACTTCCCTGCTCATACTGACTGAGATTGCTACCGTCAATCCACAACTTGTGCAGAAGCTCAATGCCCTCAAAGTCCCCTTGCCTTATCACAGAGAACTGCGCGTTGCCCAGGTGCAGAGAGCTCAGGTTCCTCAGGCTAGAAAAGGGGGAGCTCTGCCCCAGGTCTCTGTAGGAATTGCCTTGAAGATAGAGGTGCTGGAGTGAAAAAAGGTGCCCAAACCACACAGGGGACAAGTGAGCCAAGCTGTTATTGGATAAGTCCAAGAGCTCCAGTTTTGCCAGGGACTGAAACGAGTCTTCATCGATGGAGCTGATTTGGTTGGACTGCAGCAGCAGGGCTCTCAGGTTCACTGCCTGCTGCAGGTCCTGGGACTGGATGTGCTTTATCCTGTTGTAGGTCAGGTTTAACACTGTGATTTTGGCTGTGAGCCCAGGGGGAATGAATTCCAAGCCCATGGAGGAGCAGTTGCAAAGCTGACTGGCATCACATGAAGGACAAGCCTGCTTCAGTGCTTGCTGCTTGGAGAGGCTTGCAGCTAAGACCATGTAGATGGCCAACACTTGCCAAGTGTTTATAGTTCTTGATTTGTGTTTTGCTTGGATGGACATTTTACTGTAGGAAACAGAAAAAAGAGAAAGTAGGGTCAAATTTTAATTTTGAACAGCCCTGAAAACTCTTGAAAGCCTGCACCTTTTTTTTAGTAATCTCAGATTAATTTTTTTTTTTAATGTTATTGTGTGATGTGAGTCTTCCTCTCCTATTTGACCTTCTCAGCCTGCAACCACAGTCTTTTGCTCATCCCTGGAGTACAGCCATATCACTTGTCAAGAGCCATAAAGGACCAATCTTAGTATACTGCTTTTCTCTAGGGATATCGGAGAGCTATGCCTCTCACCTCTTTCATCTCTCACATTATGCTCCCTTTCAGCAAAGAAGCTGCAGCTGGAAGTTTCAGCTCCAAATAGGGGAAGATGGTTAGATCATCAATTATCTGAATGAGGGAATGATCAATAATCTGAATGAATACACACTCAGTTTGCAGACAACACCAAGTTGGGTGGGAGTGTAGATCCATTGTAGGGTAATTCCTGTAGAGGGATCTGGATTGGATGGATCCATGCCATGAGGCCAATTATATGAGACTCAACAGAATGAAGTGCCATGTGCTGCACTTGGGTCACAACAACCCCACGCAGCACTAAATGCTGGGGTCAGAGTGGCTGGGAAGCTGCCCAGCAGAAAAGGATCTGGAGGCACTGGTCAACAGGCAGCTGAATATGATCCAGTATATGTCCAGGTGGCCAAGAAGGCCAATAGCATCCTGGCCTGTATCAGGAACAGTGTGACTAACAGGACCAGGGCAGTGACTGTCCCCATGTACTCGGCACTGGTGAAGTCACACCTCAAATGCTGTGTTCTGTTTTGGGCCTCTCACTTCAAGAAGGACATTGAGGTACTGTGCAGAGCAGAGCAGAGCAACTGAGCTGGGGAAGAATCTAGACTGTAAGTCTTAAGAGAACCAGCTGTGGGAGCTATAGTTGTTTAGCCTGGAGAAAAAGAAGGCTCAGAGAGGGCTTTATCACTCTCTACAACTGCCTGAAATGAGTCTGTAGTCAGTGGGGGTCAGTGTAGTGAGTGGGGGTCAGTCTCTCCTCCCAGGTTACAAGCCATAGGAAAAGAAGAAACAGCTTCAAGTTGCACCAAGGGAAGTTTAGACTGGATATTAGGGAAAACAAAATCACAGAAAGGGCGGTCAAGCACTGGCACAGACTGCCCAGGGAAGTGGTGGAGTCACTGTCCCTGGAGGTATCTAAGAGACATGCAGACATGGTGCTTAGAGACATAGTTTAATGGTAGGCTTGGCAGTATTTCATTAATGGTTTGACTCTTAAGGGTCTTAAGGGTCTTTTTAAACCAAAGTGATTTTGTGATTCCATGATTGCAAATGCTTACAGCCCATGCAGTGTCAGCCTGCCTATTCTGTATGGCTACATGGCAGGCAGAAGCCCAAACAGAGCCTGTTCTCCCTCTCAGCCCTTCCAGTGGGCTGAGGTTTCCAACACCACAAACTTTCCTGGAAGAGATCTGGGGAAAGATTTGGGAGATTTAGACTCCCTTGCATGGAGTCTAACCAGCCTTAGGACTTCTAAAAGCAGAGCTCTTGCCACACCCTTTTGCACGCTGTGTAAGCAATTCACATTCTTTACTGGAAAGGCAGAACAACCTGATATGAAATGAAGCCTATCAGACTTTTCTGTAAAACACCAGTAATAGATGGGATATGGATGTTACTGTCACCCTATACACAAATAAGCAATGGATGTAATTAGAACAATACTGATTTTAAAGTAAAGAAGGGCTGTGTTTCCTGCCAGAAGTGCCAAAGAACACTTCACCAAGTCTGAACCGCAAACAGTTCCAGTAGTGCAGATGAACACTACCCATAAACCCTGAATAAGCAGAGGTTAAGTACTTACCTTGTGTACTGCATGCTGTGTTTCAGTCTCCTCGTGTGCTGGTCAAGGCATCTGAATGCCTCATACCTCCAAACACAACAAAAGCTGGAAATTTTTGGCAGGTCTGATGAGGTGACAGTCCCAAAGTGAGAAAATATTTCAGCCTTAAAATATTGTTCTCTTCAAACAAAACTTCATGTTCCCAGTTCCCCAGCGTCCTTTAACTACGCAGCCAGTGAATCATACCAGTTTGCATCTCTTCTCTCTAGTGGTGGTTCCCCTGAGGAAACCATGGCTTCTGAAGAGTCCAGGATGTCCAACACATATGGCTCACCCTTCAAACTACCATTTTAATCAATTCTACCATTGCTGCTGACTGGGGACACAAAAAATGAGAACAGATTGTTGTTGAACGCTCTTTGAAAGATAAAATTTAGTGAGAGTCTCTTCTTTTTGTCAGTCAACTCCCATTGGCTGATGCAACCATTTTGCGCAAGTCATTCTTTCACAATCACTTCCTCCACTATTAAGTGCAGAAATAGTTCCCTGGCAGAACTGCATTAACCTCCCTGTATCTCTACTTTCAATACTTTTTGCCTGGTAGGCACTGGGGGTTGTTCACTGTGCTGAGAAACAGAACATCTCAGCAGAACAAACTTATGTGAATTCCGTAAAATATTATCAATATATAGAGTGATACATGTATTAAATGTTGAAGTCAAATTGTTCAGTCAAGGAGAGTACTATAGAAATACTCCGCATCCTTTAATTTCCTAGGACATTACAGTCATATGTTGTCAACAGAAAATTAATAAGAACAGGAACAATATTATCTCTGAAGGACAAGACACAGTCTGAAGCAAAGTATCTTTCTGTAAACATCAAAGGCAAGTTTGAGAGAGGAGGTTTGATGGCATTCATTTTAACCTGACTGAAGTAATACATGGTTGGTCAAATAGCCAAGTATGCCCTTTGCATAAAGGGGCAGGGAGTTGTCCTACCAGCTCTGAAAGGCAAGTCCATTAAATTCAAACACTAACATTCCTATTGCAGTTACCATTTCTTTCTTGTGTTCAGAAATTGTCACATTTTGCTGTCCTCTTGCATCAAGAAGTACCTGCCTGAGAGCAGACAGATGGACTGATTCCTGCCACTTGTCAGAGGGCAGCATCTATGTGATCAAGGGTGGCAAAGCCTACAGAGAGCCCAAATGCACCTCATAGCAACCTTCAGTCCCACTGCACTGACATTAGCATTGCATATTAGGTTAAGAGAAAAAGAAATTGGAAGGCTGAGATACCCTTGTGTTTTTTGTCTACTACAGAGGACAGCTGATAAACATAACATTGCAAAATAGAGGAAAAGCAGCTGTGGGGCAGAGAGGAGAAGGGAAATAGTCTTTTAGTGAAAGATGTTGTCAACTTCCCCAAAGCCACCTCTTCCTTCTAGAAGCTGGAATGGTTCTTGCTCTTCAATGGGGAAGACTTCTGTTTTCAAAATATTAACTCTGGGTTCAATGAGACTTGTTACTGTATTTTTTTGTCTTCAAAATTGCACCTCTCTGATACAGTAAAAAATTTTAGTTAATTTGAGAAGAGTTCTGGAGAAGAAGACCATGTACATAATTCAGTGTGAAATGGGCATACTCTTCTATCTGTTACAGCTTCATCACCACACATTTGTGGAGAATTGAGGTACACACCAACTGTTTTTTCAGAAGCCACTTTCTCCTAACATCCAGGCTGAGCCACAGATGGATCTCCTATGGGCCAGGTTAAAGAGAGGACTGGTGTGACTATGCCACAGTTCACATACCAAGCAGTCCATTTCAGCAAGCTGCTTAAAATGCCAAGAAATGTGGGCAATTGTCAGGGTTTATCACATTATCCAGACTCAGGAAGGTTTGAGGATGTGCAAAAATGCTCTCCACAAGCTGCCCCACACACAAAGTACCAGCCACCTGCCTCCCAGAGCATTAGCTTTTAAATTGAGGTGCAGCATGGATCAAAACAACTTCTTTTGAAATCAAAGACTCTAAAGTAGGAGAAAGTTGTTCTCTTTTAAGACGAGAATACTCTTCAACTGCTTTTCCTCCAGAGTAATGCACGTTTAGCACTGAACAAAGATGCACGTTGTACGTGCTTTCTCTCCTCTTCCAAGTTTAAGCTAGGATTAACCTTCCTCTTTAATACTGTTTAAAACAAATTGCATGCCTCCACCTACACTACATTTTCCTAAGAGAAGTGCATGGCTCTGCAACAAAGCTGTGCTTTTGCAACTGCGGATGTTCCAAGCAGAGACACCGCATGAGCCTTTACCAGAAGTAGATGGGAGTAAGACAGAGATGTGGTAATTATTTTTGAAGCTGTATAGCTTTAAATGTTCCCGTTTATCCAACGGCAGCTCAAGCAGTACTCAAACTGGGCATGATGCACTCTTTAAGCACTTCCCGTTCCCAGTCTCACACGGAAGGATCCTGCATTCCCCTGCCCCCTTCCTCTCTTTCCTTCTCTATGTCAGTGTCCACACTGAAGCTGCCTGTTGCTTTTCTGCTGAGAAAGGACAAGTGAGCAGTGCAGAAGGGACTTAACCCAGGTCCTAGATCCCAGCCTCAAAGAAAAAGCAGAAGCAGTAGAAAAGAGAGGGAAGAATGGAACTACTGACCAGCCTGTGATGCAAGCAGAAAGCACACTTTCCAAATCTTTGTAAACAGCACAAAATTGCTTCCTCATACTTACCACTGGTAACCAGGATGTGCCAGTATGTCAGCTTGGCTGCAGCAGCGTCAGGCAGGCTGAACCTGGGATGCTCTTACCCTAAATATCCCCAGAAAAGGATGACAAGGAAAAGCTAAAAGTCAAATCTGTCCTTGCAGTCTTTGGAGCAGGAGGTATAATACTCATGTAATTGAAAGCAGAATGGCTTGGCATCCTTTCATGGTCCTGGGAATAGATTCTTTGCGTGCACTGCTGCTGCCTGTGCTTTAATCTGTCTTGCAGAGCTTCAGGTATTCAACTTCAAGCTACAACAAAAAGGTACATGATAACGAAAAGTAAACCATTTTAACTTTGCTGTGTTCCCTCTCAGGTCTACCCTGCTAGCTGCTCAATCCCCTGGTTACATCTTCAGACTGGAAGTCTAAATGCAAAGGACCCAATTACCTTTTTTTTTTCTTCTGGACAATCCTTATCCTGCAGTCGTGGCAGAGCATGATAGTGATATAACTGGTTAGTCATTCAGCAGCCAGCCTACAGCACTGCCTCTGCCAAGGAAGCAGAGTTGTGGATTTATTTTTGTCATATCCTTCCTGAAAGCTTTCAGTCAGAAAAACACAACACTGATTTTCTACCTTAACTGAGGAGCATCTTGCAGGGAAGTTTGCATGCTAAGACACCAAAGCTTATCTTAATGATATGGAAAGTTTCATTTTTCTAGAGTAGTTGTAACAGCATGACTCAACAAGAGAAAACATGTAATTTCTGCCAAAACATTTCTGGTGAGTTCTTGACTCCCAAGCAAACTGCTTCAACGGGAAACAGCCTACATGCAAAGCAAAGCTGGACAACATAGTTCCTTTCTTACCTTGCCCTTTAGGTACAGTGAAAAAACTTGTTTCTTTCAGGATACTAGGATATACAGTACCCTAGTATACATCTTTTCTAGTAATACACACTGGAAAAAAAGGCAAGTTCTGACATCCTATTTTGAAGATCACTGTGACACACACAAAATCCTGTTATCACCACACAGATTTGTTACTCTGAGAGCTCTGAGACAACTCACATGGTACTGGGAGCTCAGAGTTCATCCCAAATGTACTTGGGCAGGTAGGCTCCCAGCTTGCTGCTGCTGGGGATCCATCCCCTAAAAACAGACATAATCTGGAAATCATATTTTCTGCAATTTTCATCATGTCGATTGGTACAACATTATCAATGTACAAAACTGTTTCTTAAGTTTTTTTAGAGGTCTTCAGGAAATACTTCTGTGCAGCCTTCTCAAGTACCACTCACACAGTGTTTTGAACTGACTTTTTTCTTTGCTCTACATCTATCTCGCTCTTTTGTGTTGTTCAGTTTGCTTTGCTGTATTCTAGGCTGTTTGACCTAGCGGCCATCTAATATGGGCTGCCCAGAATGGTATTTGGACACCTAAGCCATATTTCTAGTTTTTAAAAGAGGTGCCATTTGTGTTTCCAAACAAAGATTTTGCAGGATTTTGGACAGAGCCACAAACATTTATGGCTATGAGCTCCCAGCACAGGCTGCAATACCAGGAGGGCAGGGTTGGGAAGAGAGAGGAATGGGATCTCTCATGCTCACTGTTTGGACAGCTTCTGCTTCATTTCATCTCACCAGGAGAGAAAATACCCTGTCACAGCCCACCGGGTGCAAGTCTTCACTGGCAGGCTGTTGTGAGGAAGTTAGGGTTTAACATCCTGGCACCGGAATTTCCCATAAGGAGGAAAAAAGCTTCGCTCAGCTCCAAGTGAAAGCTCCTTCGAGAGAGGCTGGGCAAAGGGACATTCATGTTGGTGCATTCCAGTGTGGGAAGGTCCAGCAAACCTAGTCTTGCCTCATTCAGAGGAATGCATGGACATATTTTGTGCTTATGCCTAACTAATGCTAATAGGCGGAAAAAAGTGTTTTATTTTTCCTGTTTTATTTTGGGGTTTTTGTTTCTTGGAGTTTTTTTTAATGGAAGGGAAACATTTCTGGGAATGGGACCAAGTCATTGCAGAACCAGTTAGAGTTTGTTTCCTGTATGGAGGTGGAAAGCACTTTGCTGGGATGCAGAGATACATATTTAACTGCTTGTTATACAATAGAAAAAAAATTTGTGTTTAACAGTTGGGCAAGAATCTGAGCAGGAAATGAAGCAGATCATTATCATGTACCATAAAAATACCAAGATTTTTGTATTTGTTCCAAAAAAGATAATGCCAGGATGTATTTTGCACAGGTAGTTCAGGCTTTGCATTCAGCTGCTGACTCCCACTGTATGTGATGCCATGAACTATTATACACATGACAATGGATTTCAGGAAGAGAAATCTAGGCAATTCCAAATCTTTTTTTTTCTCAGTTTTTCAAGACATTCAGAAGTTCTTTCTTCAGTGTATCTACTTTTCTGGATTTATAGCCCATCAGTATGCCACATTTCTTAAAAATACGAAAATATCTAAGGTACTACTTCCTAGGGTTTTTCACTCACTGGAAAAACAACATGTTTTGTGAGTCTCTTGCAGGGATTGTTTCTATTGCTTCTTTTGCAATTGTATAATTTTTAAACAAACTTTTTAGAAGCCTGACTTC